TGGAAGGAGCAGGAGCAGAAGTAGAGCAAATTTTCATTTCTTTATATTTGTTCTATTTTCTGTAATTTGCTTCTTCCTGGCACATCAAAATATAATAAGATTTTTGACTGAAATTGCTGTCTGCATTATTTTCAGTACACTGCTATTAAAGAAATTGGAATCATATCTTTTGTTTGTTTTAGCATTATTTCTAAAATGGTCATATCACAGAGATGTGAGTCATTTTCCCTCATACAGAAGTTGCAGCTCCTATTTGTGACCGTACAGACACAGGTTTGAAAACATCAGCGTGTGTGTGGCCAGGCTGCTATAGTGACGATGCCATTTCTTTTCCCTAGTGACGCACAATATCAGTGGAATTTGTATTAAGTCAGCCACAGGTGTTATGAAGTGTTTTGCTGGCACTTGTCAAAGACAGCTAAATTAAATTTTACAAATGTATAATATTTTGGTCTGATAAATCCAAAGACTGACCTAGTATCTCTTCACACACAAAAGCAAAAGATTATCTTCTTGGGACCAACAAGATTTAAATAATTTCCTGTACATTTCTTTGTGTGGTGAACTGTGTATGCAACTGTTGTATACCATTATGGGAGCCAGTGGGAGGGTCTGAAACGGAAAGCAGACACACGCTTAGTTTCTGCAGAAAACCACAGCAAGACGAGTTCATATTTGGATTGCTGAAAAATAATGAAAAGAGGGAGAAATATTTACAAAAAAATCTGTGAAAATATTCAAATACATAAAAGATGTGTGTGGTCAAAAACAGCAGAGTTACATGAAAAGAATGAGGACAGCTGAGAGAGAAAACATGTTGCGCAGTGAATACAGAGAAGTCTGAACTGTGAGACACAGGACAGGATGTGCTCTGACGTGCTTCTAACAAATATGAAACTCAGACACACTAGAGTTCAGTTTCATTACAGCTCAGAGCAGGGGGCCTAAAAGCTTCAGTCAACCACTACAGCCACACAACTGCAAAAACAGCACACGTCCACACATAAAAGTCAACATGCTAACATCAACCTCAGAGGTGTTTTATGTCTCACTCTGGTTGACAGATACTCAGCTACATGTCCAGACTGTGGCAGCATATTGAACATTTGTTAGTTGCTAAGTGTCCCTGCCTTTCTGTGTCTTGTTGTTGTACCTGTTTCCTGCACAAAGGACAGCTTTATGTTCCACAGCCAGCTTAAAGAAACCAGAAGATGCTAGAGGGGTAGAGGTGAGGAGGGAAAATAATTAGGCAATAAGACAGTCATAAAAAGTCTCCTTACTGTACATGCTCTGTGTTTGTACCTGAAGTAATGCCTGTCAGGTTCAAGCATTAAATATTACTCCCTCTTGTTCCTGAAATGTTGCACAGTGCTCAGCAAAAATCTCAAGTCTTTTTACATTTCTTTAGATTTTACTCATAAAGAGCAGCCTTTCCCCCACAAATGGTCTTAAACTAAAGTTAGCCTGGTTCTCTAATTTTTCTTTCAACAATGCCTACTTTTCCTCTCATTTTCCATCTAGAACCTAACTGTTTTAAATAAATAGGTCTGTTTAAATCACAGAACTGTGTTGACTAGTTAATGGTCACTGTCCTGACTGCTGTAGACAGCAGTCTGAGCAACCATATTTTGGAGAATCAATGAGAAACTTTCAACAATTAAAAATAAAACCCTAACCAATTTCTGCTATTTAAAAACAACAACAAAGTAAAAACATTTATATAGTAAAGCGCTTGAACCACTATAATTTTTTTAAAAGTTTGAGATGATTGAGATGGTGGAAATTTGTTCTTAAATGGAGAAGGGGTTCTCTGCAGACCAAAAGTGGGCGTTTCTGGAGAATAGGTGTTTGTAGAGGGCAAACACTGATTGTCTAACTGTATTTGCTGCTCTTTAGGTAAGTTACGTCAGCTCATTTTTAAAACTGAATGTTTCTAAGAAACAGCGTTATATCTGCTGTCAAACACAAGAAGATTCTCTTTAGTTCTTGGGTTGTAGCTGCACCTGACACAGGTTGGCTTGAGTCTGGTCTAGGTACAATGAAATATGAAGCATCTGAAGCAAAACCTGCTCCCATTTGTCAAAAAGTCTGGTCTTAATTAAAGATCATGAGTCCTGTAACGAGATAATGGCCCAAAACAAACGCTAAAAACAAAATTTGCTCTTTAGAAGTGCTCTCCTATGAGATCTGATCTAAGAAAGGAGCTGAAACATGGAGTAGGATTGACCCTTAAAATGTGAGACAGCTGAGGAAGTTAACCAGTAAACAGAAATACCTGCTCCAGTTGCAGAAATCTGACAGAAACTGACAATCACTCATCTGCAGTGACTGATTTAAAAGGTCGAACAAGAAAATGTGAAGTTAAAGGAAACATTTTTTGTCCCAAAGCCAGTTTAAGTATCATTATTATTTTGGTGACTTTATTTTGCTTTATTTATTAATTGATTGTAACTATTCTCACATTATTCAACAACCAAAACGGATTTAGTTTTGTAATGTAATGGCTACATATTAAAAAACAAACATTTATCCCTCCCCACTACCCATTTATGTTGTTCTTATTTTGAAATGTAACCGGAAGTTCTGTGTTAAGAGAGGAGGAAAGAGAAGTTATGGAGACGCCACTAATGTTGAACCGGTTAACACCATAGACATAATGGGTCTGTGGTTAACACAATCTGCCAATAATGCCTTTATTTTTTCTTCGTCCAATCAGATGTGGCCCTCCAAATACGCCTCGTTTTTATTGTCCAGTCAGATGTGGCCATCCTGATACGCCTTCCGTACTTGTCTGCAGAGATACCTACCGGTACTTGCTTAAATAGGCCTTGCTCTGAATAGATGTTAGCAGACCCTTTCTCCTTGTGGGGTAGATTCTTGGCTATCCAGGACATGGCAAATCCCCCCAAAATTAAAAAAACAAAGGACTAGATTTATATTCTGGAGTTGAAGACGTTTCGCTTCTCATCCAGTGAGCTTTCTTAAATCAAAACTGCAAAGTATTATTAATTTGTTTCAGACTGGAATAGCTTTGACAGTTGTTTACTGCAGGTAAGATACTGGCTACCTATAAGTACTAAAGGTTACCCTACTTCAAAACCATTTAGCTCTTTAGTCAATAAAAGCAATTACTGGTTTTCAGAAATAAAGCACAAGAATGCAGAGTGCTGTAGTTACAACAAACATCCATTATAAGCTCTAATGTAAAATCTAAACATTTTATCTGAGTTCAAGCCTGGCATTTTATTTATTTATGTTTTTGTTATTTTGCTTTTATGAGAACAAGGCACAGCTCTTGGTATACAAGTTTCTGACACAGAACCACAAATAAATATGCTCATTAAACTGTATACACGTCAAAGAAAAACACCCAGTATAAAAATATAACGGGATTTTAACAGCTTTAAAATTTGCTATAGAACATTTGACTAACCAGCAGAGAGAAAGAATATTCTGTTAATCAGCGATCAATAAATACATATTTATATATAGGAGTTATGTTAGCATAATTCATCAATCAAACCACAAATATTTTATTTGAAGATGCATAAATATTCTCTAAAAGTAGTGTGAAAAACCTGAGTGAAAGACTGATCATTTTGCCTCAGTGGAGGTAATGGGAAAATAATGTAACATAAACTTAATGTGGAAATAAAAATCTGAAATTTATAAACTCACGTTTTATTTAGGTACATGTGAACCCTCAGTATTCTGCAGAGAATGGTTCTGTTCTGTTTTCATTTAGTTTAAATACGAAGCATTTTATTTACAATGCTGTAAATGCCCAAAGAGAGAACTTTTCTGGGGGAACATGGTTTATCAGGTATTAAGCATAAATTTTCATAAAAGTATAACATCTTAAAAGAAATTGCCAGTAACAGCAATACTTAAAGAACACAAATTACACAGGTAAGTTTTAAAAACATTACCATACTACAGTAACAGAGCAGTTTAATGCCTAAGAAAATGACAATCTGAAATATGATGAACTGAATGTAAACCGTCCAACATTTTTCAGTCAGGTCATCTGGACAGTTTTTTTTTTGTGCTGAAACATTTCACCTTCAATCCAGAAGGCTTCATCAGTCAAGGAAACACACAACACAAAACTGATTCTTCCCCCAACAGCTTCCTCCAAAGTGGAACAAACCAGTTTTGTTGGTGCTAAGATAGTCTCTTTGAATGTAAACCGCTTCTAACTTTAATTGTTGAATTTAATTGGATATTGAAAGATTTTAAATATAAACAAAGTGTCGTTTGAGCAAGTCTTTGGGAGTAAAACAGCTGTCATGTTTAGGAAAATAAAAACTAAACAGGACTCCTGGACATGATTAGTGTGTTGTATCGTTACAGTAATTTGTTCACTTTGAACCAAATTATCAAACTGCTTAATGAAAGAAAATCTTACTCGGTCAGACATTCCAAAATTAAAATGTAAAATTTTACAAAATGAAAATAAGCAGGACATTAAAATATATTAATAATATTTTTCCTATCAGCTCACAATAAAGTGATAACGGCTTTTAATCAGTCTTAAATATAACAAAGGGAATATTCATCTACTACTTAACTTGACAAAAGTGACAAAGTTGCAACAATTTTCAACTACATTAGAAAAATATCATTAAAATCATTAAAAAACATTTAAAAATAAGGGACTCATTGGTCCTTCTTGTTACAAAGTGCTACAAAACTTACCTAGTTTTTTAGCAAATTCAGGCATGAAAGAAGGAAGCAGATCAAACTGGGAGCAAAGTATAGAGTAGAAGTACTGCAGAATCTGGCTGCTGGGTACATGCTCACACGCCCTCTGGAGACAGAAGATGACAGACTAAAACAAACCAAAACATTAACAAATGTACTCATGCAAAACTGAATATTAAACATAAAAAAACTATCCATCCATCTATCCATTTTCTTCCGCTTATCCGGAGTCGGGTCGCGGGGGTTGCAGCTGAAGTAGGGAGGCCCAGACTTCCCTCTCCCCAGCCACTTGGGCCTGCTTCTCCAGGGGAATTCCAAGAAGTTCCCAGGCCAGCTGAGAAACAAAGTCCCTCCAGCGTGTCCTGGGTCTTCCTCTGGGCCTCCTCCTGATGGGACGTGTCTGGAACACCTCACCAGGGAGGCGTCCAGGAGGCATCCTAACCAGAGCCCGAGCCACCTCAGCTGGCTCCTCTCGACGTGGAGAAGCAGCGGCTCTACTCTGAGTCTCTCTCGGATGACTGAGTTTCTCACCCTATCTATAAGGGAGAGCCAAGACACCCTGCAGGGAAAACTCAATTTGGCCTCTTGTATCCATGATCTCGTTCTTTCGGTCACAACCCAAAGCTCATGACAATAGATGAGGGTAGAAACTTAGATCGACCGGAAAATTGAGAGCTTCGCCTTTTGACTGAGCTCTTTCTTCACCACGACAGACCGGTACAGCGTCCGCTTCACTGCAGACACCACAACTATCCGCCTATCAATCTCTCGCTCCATTTTTCCCTCATTCGTGAACAAGACCCCATCCATCCATCCTTCATTGTGTCAATGAGGAGGTCACTTAGGGCAGGACATCCTCCCTGACCCAGAGGGGGCACTCTACCCTTTTCTAGCTCAAGACCATGGCCTCGGATTTGGGGGAACTGAACCTCATCCTGGTCACTTCACACTTGGCTGCAAACTGCTCCAGTGAAAGTTGTAGATCACGACCTGATGAAGCCAACAGGACCACATCATATGCAAAAAGCAGAGACGCGATCCTAAGGCCACCAAAACGGATCCCCTCAACACCTTGGCTGCGCCTAGAAATTCTGTCCATAAAAGTTATGAACAGAATCGGTGACAAAGGGCAACCTCCAACTCTCACCGGGTACGAACCCAACTTACTGCCGGCAATGCGAACCAGGCTCTGACACCGGTCATACAGGGACCTAACAGCCCGTATCAAAGGGCCCGGTACCCCATACTCCCGGAGTACCCCCTACAGGGTTCCCCGTGGGACACGGTCGAGTGCCTTCTCCAAGTCCACAAAGCACATGTAGACCAGTTGGTCAAACTCCCACGCACCCTCCAGGACCTGCTGATAGTTTAGAGCTGGTCCAATGTTCCATGACCAGGATGAACACCACACTGGTCTTCCTGAATTTGAGGTTCAACTATCCAACGGACCCTCCTCTCCAGAACCCCTGTATAGATCTTACCAGGGAGGCTTAAGGGCGTGTAGATCACGACCTGATGAAGCCCTCTGTAGTTGGAACACACTCTACGGTCCCCCATTTTAAATAGGAGAACCACCACCCCAGTCTGCCAGTTCAGGGGAACTGCCCCCGATGTCCATGTAATATTGCAGAGTCGTGTAAGCCAACACAATCCCACAACATCAAGAGCCTTAAGGAACTCAGGACAAATCTCATCCAACCCAATTTTTAATAATCACGTTAAGTTACAAATGTTGTCTTTGGTGCCTGTTTTTTTCCAAATATATTAGTGTGTGTGAATGGCAGGCATCAACTTAAAACACTTTGTAGAACGGTGCTTTATGAAGTTTAGTCCACTTCCTTGTATTAGTTGACCAGAAGTTATGACACATTCAAAATGGCGTTGATTCAGCGCTAAATGAGGCGTCAACGTATATATGTCTATGGCTTGGACTGCTGGTACCCATCAGCTGCTTCCGGGGTCCCACAGGCCAAAAAGGCCCGATAGGACTCCTCCTTCAGCCCAAGCTCCTTCATCCCTAACCGCCAGTGTCCACCAATGGATTCGTAGAACCAATAAAAGTAATATCAATTCCTAGCATGACAGTAAAGTGACTGATCAATAATCACTCAACCATGTTCTAAAGGGAAAATGAAGACTAGGGCTATGATTGTTATTAGTTATTAAGAGAAACCACTAGACATTGCACAACAATCACTTTGACCTATTTCTAAGAAAAGAAATGGAAACAGCTGATTATTTCTTCAACTATTTGGATATGAATCATTGGAGGGAAAAAAACAGTTAAAAATACATCTGCCCTCTAATCTTGTAGATTTGATGCTGTACTGCTATACTGTGTGTATGTGTTCGGTTTCTGCCAGATGCAGCACTGACTATAAATCTTACTTTTCACCATAACGAACAGGGACAAAACATTCAGATGAGATAACAAAAACAAGTTCAACATTTGATTGTCAACTTGAGTTTAGCTCTCACAAGAACAGTAGGTATCCAGACAGAATCACAGCAGCGCAGCAGACACCGGCACAGAGACTCCAGGGAGTCCTCAGCACAGTTGAGTTTATAGGGAGATGTAAATGGGTTCTTCATCAGAACAGGTTCTGACGCACATTCCTCAGCAAGCCTTGTACATACACACACATAAACAAATACACATCAAAATAGGTACAAACACATATATACTTTTTTTGGTGACTTATTGGTGAAATAAAAACAAATCTGGTGATTTTTTTAAAAGTAGAACTTTAATTCAACCAAAAACGGAAAGAAAACAAAAAACGTTTTTCAAACTTATTTCTGTGTACCTGATGTGAAAAAGGTAAACCTTTAAGGATAACATTAAAAATTAATATCCTGATGCATGCTCAATAATCCAGGTAGAAAAATCCAAA